TTACAATGTTACCAACTATGCCTTCTTAGGGGATTTGGTGGCTTTTGATGGTGATTTGGTTGCTTTTGTTGTTGAAGTTGCTGCTTTTTCAGACTTTTTTGGGAGGAGAATTGGGTTTATGTTTGGTAAAACTCCACCGTGTGCGATTGTTACGCCTTTGAGTAACTTACCTAGCTCCTCGTCGTTTCTTACAGCTAACAGAACATGGCGCGGTATGATACGGTTCTTCTTGTTGTCCCTTGCTGCGTTACCAGCAAGTTCAAGAACCTGAAATTGTGAACATATATAAAATGATCAGACTGGAAAAACTTAAAAGACGAGTACTTATGTGACATTAAGATCAATCTGCAATATTCAGAGATTTGCATTGTAACATTCAAAAAGATGAGTTCTTGACACTTTGTTAAACAGAGTTTACTTGAATATGATTTGTATTTGCTATGTAACTTGTAAGATTATGGATTTTACAAGGTGACCTAATTGAAACCTAATTGAAACCAATTAAAAGTCTTAATTACTTGTGATGAGTTATATAGAAACTACCAAAAATTCATTTTTTTTTTATAATGGAAGAATTCACAAGAAATCGAGTCAAAATCGAATAAATATCGAGGTTTCCGACATGATCTGAAAAATTGAAGGGCCTGAGAATGATTTTATTTACCTCAGCTGCAAGATATTCGAGTACGGCGGCGAGATAGACCGGAGCTCCGGTACCAACACGTTTCGAATAACGACCTTTCTTTAGATACCGACCGATTCTACCGACGGGAAATTGTAAACCGGATTTAACCGATCGAGAAACCGGTTTTTTCTTCGGACCACCAGCTTTTCTTCCAGCTACTCCTTTCTTTGCTTTGTTTGCAGAATCCATGGCTGTCTTTAGCTTTGATCTGTCGGAATCTTACAAGAGAGGAGAAGATAGCTTTTGACGTTACAGAGATGCTTTGGTTTTGCGAAAGAGGTTGGTTTGGTTTTTCAGTTGATGAATGTTAGCCTTTGGATTGAAAAATGAATCAACGGTTATGGATTGCTGATTTGGCAATCTTCGAAATTGTTTTTTTTTTCTCTCTTCAATGATTTTCCTCAAAACTGGATTTCAGATTTTAGAATAATGATTTGTGGTAGGTTGTTACTCAATTCAGATTTTTTTTTTTGTCAACAGGAATTCAATTTAGATTTTAGATCGGTTTTTGGTTTATTTTTATTTATATCTAAAATAAAACTGAATTTTTTTATGGATAATTTGGTTTAGATTTGGTTTTCGGTTCCGATTCAAATTTAAATTTTAGTGAAGTATATCCTTAATCTTAACCTTAATTTTGGTTTTACATCATTTTTTTTTAACAATTAATATACACTTTAACTGTGTTTAATTTTTAAGGGTTTTAGTACCATCAGATTTTTTCTTAATATACACATTAATTTGTTTATTGTTTTCAGATTTTATATAAGTTTTAGAAAACTTATTGGTCTACTTGATTTCTTTTATCTATATATATAATGGAGAAATTGCAAATGCCACTTTTTATGTGCACATTTGCAAAAATGCCACTTAGGAGTGTTCATTTGCAAAAATGTCACT